TTCTTAGAACACTGCTTTCTTATTCTGCTTTGACTTTTAACCAATGAAAACACAACACTGCTGATGGAAAGAAACWCTAAAGAAAAACAAGATTAATAGGTTAGGATTTCTAAGGATGACTAGACTCATTTACACAGTGCATTTCTCCAAATTTAAATCCCATGAGTTATATCACTTACCAAAGGCCCACCCAACAGCCACACACTGGACCAGAGACACAAATAATACACATGCTCCATTCGGACCATAGTAATCAACCAACTGGAACAGATAGATTCCTCCCTGGGCAACAGAAAAAATATAAAGTGTCACTTAAAAGACTCCTGCAAAATAAGAATTGTTTTAGTGATAGGTGTTGTGTTTGGGTAAGGTTTCACCATCATAGGGTACCTGAGTAGTGAGAGGGATCTGAATGATGAAGCAGATAGAACAAAAGAGGAGGATGAAGATTTCTCTACGCCAGGGTCTGCGTATCGTTCCTGGGAACATGTCAATCACTGAAGATGTTATTGTTTCCAAACCTGTAAACTAACACATGAAAACAGACAGAAAGGAGAATAACGTCAACACAGTATTTMAAAAAACAGGCATCAGGCCCAGGCTTATTTTCATTAAGGTGTAGCATGTGAGTGTCTGTTGGTAACAACCAGTCAGTCTTTGGTGCAGCAACACGATATGCAATAGAGTACCCACTTTGTAAGTGCCATCCACTCTTGTCTCCATAAAATAGATTTTTATTTTCAGAACAAATTACTATTAATGAAAATGGCAAGGTATAAATATTATGACAATTGTAAATCTGATTGTGCTCTGAACCTATTCAATGCTTCCTGTGCCAGACACAGCACTCCCATAACATAAATGAGCCTCATCCATGTGTTACGGTAAAGATGATGTTCTTTTCTTTGAAAGCTTCATGTTCCCTCTGTAAACATGGAGCTGCCATGACATTTAATCAAAAGCTCTGATTATTAACATCTCAGGAATAGTGCAACGAATCAGCATGTATGTTTGCAAGGTACGGTGAGATTGTACATCTTGATCTTGGAGGTACGTTTTTATGTGCCAAGTAAGCGCGATTCATTCTTTCAAAAACAAGAAGGTTAAGAAAAACAGCTGGCTGCTGCAAAGGGCATAACCCATGACCAAACCATAACCCATGAGCAAACCAAAAACTCACTAATAAATTCATCTTTACAGCATGTTTGACTGTCCGTGTTCCTGAACACTTTGGTTTTACTTATTTATTTGATGCCACAAATATTAGATAGATAGATAGATAGATAGATAGATAGATAGATAGCAGCCTGGTGCAGCGCGTAGAGGCAGGGAGTGAGTATTAACTCTGCTGCGATGATCACATGATCACCACAAACTTTCTAGTCGGTGAGTTCTACGTATATGACACTACTTTTTCACCAGGAGATATTATATSTTTTTTTTATATTTGCTTCTGTCTGGCATGTTTGTTTTGTCTCTGTTGTTCTCATGTTATATATATTATACATATAGTTGTTTAAATATTTCAGGACCTAAGTAGTTGACTGACCAACAAACTGACTAAATTAATCAAATACAATGGGGTCCAAAAGAGACCACGTTCTCATTCATGTAAGAAGTACTCTTCATCTTACCACTGTGTCCAGCCCCAACATAATGAGCATGATGAAGAAGCAGACAGCCCACAACTGAGGCAGGGGCATCATAGCCACAGAYTGTGGAAATGCAATGAATGCCAGTCCAGGTCCTGAGAGAACAAAAGAGACGTTTGAATTTTCATCCTCTCCACTTGTCTTGAATTAGATYTTTGTCTTTTTGTAGCAAATATGTGACTGAA